GGTTATTTCTATTTAGGGTATTTGAATATAGATAGTGCTGTCTCTTCAATTAGGGGAAAGATTGTTTCCAATTTTCTTACCATTTTGTGTTTAGTCCATATACTTTAAAATCTGTTTTTTCTCTTCTTCTTTAGGCCCTGCTCTTACTGACTTTCAGCACCTAAATTGTCCTGACTATGGGCTTTTCTTTTATTTCCCAGTGTTGTCTCTGATGGTTGGCAATATGGATTCCTTTACATCTGTTGCTCAAAATGTATCACATGTTCTCTCATTTTATTCAGAATGTTTTACTATTTCGAGCTTCATCTCAATTCTTAAAGCTATCCTTCTGCATGCATAGTTTGGCATTTCTGAGCCAGGGCATTTAGACCTATATAAGATGACGTTTTTTTTTGTTGTTGTTGTTGTTGTTTTTTAAATAAACAAGTTTACAAACACATGAAATAGCAAACAAAACAAAAAACAACCTTGTAATTTAGCACTTGCATTAAGTGAGGTAGATATTTAAGGAGTGTGTGTATATGCATTCTGCTCATTCCTACTTGTCTCAGTCCAGCTGGCTAAAGGTTTTTACCTTCATGTAGTGTTTTCTGCAGATAAAATTGTGCATGTGATATACAAAACTTATATTATACTAAAATTGTTTCTAATATACCAATTGCTTTGAAACAAATTTGCATTTTAAAAACAAACATTATTGAAAAACTGGCTATATTTACTTTAATCTTATTCTCAATTTTTTTTCAGTACAACACCCAAGTTTTGGAAAATAGAAATACTTATAATTGGTTAAGAAATAAATTTTACCCCTGAAAATTTGTAGCAAAACAATTCTTGTTGACATGGAAAATGTTGGCTAAAAGAGCATTAAAGAGATATCCAATTTATACTCTAGATCTTGAGTAACTTTTTAAACTTCAACTTTGTAATAATTTAATTGGATTCCAAGAAATAACTATTTTTATCAGGCTATCACAAAAATTATTTGTTCTCTTCTTTTCCACTTTTGTTATCTACTTCTATCTATCTATCTATCTAATCTATCTATCATCTTCTATCTCTCTATCCATCCATCCATTTGCCTTGTGCCAATTCAGTGTGAGAGGTGCATACATGGCAAATATAAGAAATCCAGAAAAAATAGATTAGATTGAAATTTGAAAACTCTAAGTATAATGAAAACAACCTTTAGATAAAATTTTTAGGAAATCTATTTTACACCAAATATATGTTAATATTATACATATTTCTATAAAGGGTCTGGTGTTTTAAATTCGAATCCTGTCACAAATAAAAATTGGTTGCGGTTGACGAGTTTATTCTGTTTGATAACTGCCAAAATTAGAATTCTTAACAGCTGATGGTGAAAAATTTACAGCTAATTTTTAGAAAAGTTATTTATTTCTACTATAAAACAGGTATAAATTTAGTAAAGCTAAAAGTTTAATTAAAATGGCTGCCCCACATTACACACATACACATACAACACACACACACACAACCCACAGCAATGAGAGTTATTTACTATGCATTTGTCTTGGGCCAGAAATTCTGTTAGGCGTTTTTAGATATGCCCTCCTTAATCTTCACTTCAAATCCTCATGTGATAGAAACAAGCTCAAAAACAGAAAGAAGTTTAATTTGCCCAATAATTACTTTTAAGAAACTAAATTTCAACTTTTCCCAGAATTTCAGAAATGTTGAATTATGGTATGATAATTCTGTACAGAGAAACTCCTTTCCCATAGCTGAATTTCATTTCACTCTTCACTTTATGTATTTTTACCTGAGTTAAAAAGAAGTGTTTTTAAAAATTTAAAAGTTTGGAGACAGATTAAAATTATGGATAGGAGGCAGGACTAGCTTGCAGCTCCTGCTGATGATCAAAGCAGTGTGTAGAAACTCATATCATTAACTTTTGCTCCAAGAACTACTGCAGGAACATACCAGGAAAGTGGAGAGAATCCACAAACCCTTTGAAGGAACTGGATCACTGCTGCAGGCTCCCTGAGACACCAAACAATGGTGATTCTGCTTGCTTTCTCAATGGGGAGGCTTGTGGTCTGGGACAAGTTCTCAGCCCTGGTCACTGGCTGTCTGGAAATAGACTTGGTGCCATCGTGGGGCATAATGGAAGTGAGACTGGCCTTTACGACTGCAGGCTGTGTGGGAGCAGGGTGAGGCCTGTGACTGCTGGCCTTCTCCCACTTTCCTGGTGACCTGTGTGACTCCACAGAGGCAGCCATAATCCCCCTAGGAATATAACTCCATTGAAACCACACCCCATACCCCACATCAGCTGCAGCAAGCCCCACTCAAGGAAAGGCTGAGCTCAGACACACCTATCCCTGCCCTCACCTGGTGGTCTTTCTCTATCTGCTCTGGTAGCCAAAGACAAAGGTCATAATCTTATGGGAACTCTATGGCCCACCACTTGAGAATCCTGAATACTTAGCTAGGTGTCCCTAGGGCAAGTTTGCATCCTCCCTACAGGACTGCAGCTGATGCAGTCTTGAAGTACCACTTTCTGGCTGGAGGCCAACCAATGAAATCCAGTACACTAAGAATCAACACAATCAAGGACCTTCACTAAGTCCACTTTACTTCCCTGCTAACTCCACTGGAGCAGGTGATAGTGTCCACAACTGCAAGACATGTAGATGGATAACATCACAGGACTCTTTGCAGACACTTCCCAGTACTGGCCCAGAGCACAGTAGCTCTGCTGGGTGGTTAGATCCAGAAGAGCAAAAACAATCACTACAGTTCATCTCTCAGGAAGTCCTATTCCTAGCGGAAGGAGAACACCACATCAAAGGAGCACTCCATGGGATAAGAGATTCTGAACAGCATTCCTTGAATCCCAGATTTTCCCTCTGACATAGTCTACTCAAATGAGAAGGAACCAGAAACCAATTCTGGTAATATGATAAAACAAGGTTCTTTAACATCCTCAAAAGATCATACCAGCTTACCAACAATGGATCAAAACCAAGACAAAATCTCTGAATTGCCAGAAAAAGAATGCAGAATGTCAATTACTAAGCAAATCAAATAGGTGCCAGAGAAAGATGAAGTTTAACTTAAATAAATAAAAAATATGATACAGGATATGAAAAAAAGTTATTCCATGAAATAGCATAAATAAGAAACAATAATGACTTCTGGAAATCAAAGACACACTTAGAGAAATGCAAAATGCACTGGAAAGTCTCAGCAATAGAACCAAACAAACAGAAAACAGAACCTTAGAGCTTGATGAAAAAGATTTTGAATTCACTCAATTTGTCAATACTGTAATGGTCCATTTTCATGCTGGTGATAAAGACGTACCCAAGATTGGGTAATTTATAAATGAAAAGAGGTTGAATGTACTCCCAGTTCTACATGACTGGGGAGGTCTCACAATCATGGCAGAAGGTGAAAGTCACATCTTACATGGTGGCAGACAAGAGAGGATGAGAGCCAAGTGAAAGGGGAAACCCCTTATAAAGTCATCAGATCTCTTGAGACGTATTCCCTACCAGGAGAACTGTATGAGGGAAACTTCCCCCATAATTCAATTACCTCCACTGGGTCCCTCCTATAACAAGTGGGGATCAAGGGAACTACAATTCAAGATGAGATTTGGCTGGGGACGGAGCCTAACTATAACATTACAGCCCTGGCCCTCACAAATCTCATGTCCTCACATTTCAAAACCAATTCTGCCTTCCTAACAGTCCCCCAAAGTCTTAAATCATTTCAGCATTTGCTCAAAAGTCCAAAGTCTCATCTGAGTAAGGCAAGTCCCTTCTGTCTATAAGCCTGTAAAATCAAAAGCAAATTAGTTACTTCTTATATACAATAAATGTACAGTCATTGAGTAAATACACTCTTTCCAAATAAGAGAAATTGACCAAAACAGAGGGGCTACAGACCCCATGCAAGTTCAAAATCCAGCAGGGCAGTTAAATTTGAAAGCTCCAAAATGATCTTCTTTGACTCTGTGTCTCACATCTGGGTAATGCTGATGTAAGAGGTGGGTTCTTGTGCTCTTGGGCAACTCTGCCCTTGTGGCTTTGCAGGGTATAACCTCCCTCCAGGCTGCTTTCACAGGTTGGCATTGGTGTCTGTGGGTTTTCCAGGCACACAATATCAGCTGTAAGTGGATGTACTATTCTGGTGTCTGGAGGATGGTGGCACTCTTCTCACAGCTCCACTAACCAGTGTCTCAGTGGGTCCTCTGTGTGGAGGCTTTGACCCCACATTTATCTTCCACACTGCCCTAGCAGAGGTTCTCCAAGAGAACCTCTCCTTCAGCAAACTTCTGCCTGGACCTCAAGGCATTTCCATCCTCTAAATTTTAGGCAGAGGTTCCCAAACCTCAATTATTGACTTATGTGTACCTGCAGGCTCAACACCACATGGAAGCTGCCAAGGTGAAGGGCTTCCACCCTCCAAAGTGATGGCCTGAGCTGTACCTTGCATCTTTTAGCCATAGCTGGAGTTGATGAGACAAAGGACACCAAGACCCTAGGCTGCACACAGTAGGGGGGCCTGGGCCTGGCCCATGAAACCATTTTTCCCACCTAGGCCTCTGGGCCTGTGATGGGAGGGGCTACCACAAAGGTCTTTGAAATGCCCTGGAGACATTTTCTCCACTGTCTTGGTGATTAACATTTGGCTCCTTGTCACTGATACCAATATCTGTAGCAGGCTTGAATCTCTCCCCAGAAAATGGGTTTTTATTTTCCATTGCATCATTAGGGTGCAAATTTTACAAACTTTTATGCTCTGCTTCCTTTTGAACACTTTGCCATTTAGAAATTTCTTCCACCAGGTACCCTAAATCATCTCCTTCAAGTTGAAAGTTCCACAAATATCTAGGGCATGGGCAAAATGCCACCAGTCTTTGCTAAAACATAGCAAGAGTCACCTTTACTTCAGTTCCCAACAAGGTTTCATCTCCACCTGAGACCTCAGCCTGATTTTTTATCCATATTATTATCAGCACTTTAGTCAAAACCATTCAATAAGTCTCTAGGAAGTTCCAAACTTTCCCACATCTTTCTGTCGTCTGAGCCCTCCAAATCTCTATGAACTTCCAAACGTTCCCACATTTTCCTATCTTCTTTTGAGATAGGAAACTGTCCCTCCAAACTGTTCCAACTTCTGCCTGTTGCCCAGTTCCAAAGTTGCTTCCACATTTTTGAGTATCTTTACAGCAGCACCCTACTCTACCAGTATCAATTTATCTTATTAGTCAATTTTCCTGCTGCTGATAAAGACATCCCCAAGACTGGGTAATTTACAAAGAAAAAGAGTTTTTATGGAGTCATATTTCTATGTAGCTTGGGAGGCCTCAAAATCATGGTGGAAGGCAAAAATCTTGTCTTACATGCCAACAGACAGGGAGAATGAGAACCAAGTGGCATTATTCACTACCATGAGAACAGTATGGGAGAAACTGCCCCCATAATTAAATTGCCTCTCACTAGGTTTCTCCCATAACATGTGGGGATTAAGGGAACTACAGTTCAAGATGAGATTTGAGTGGAGGCACTGCCAAACTATATCAGTCAAAGGCAAAGAAAGAAGAAGAAAAATAAAATGAACAAAGCCTCCAAGAAGTTTGGACTATGATAAACATCCAAACCTAAGAATAATTGGTGTTCCCAAGAAACAAGAGAAATCTAAAAGTTTGGAAAACATATTTGAGGGAATAATCAACAAAAATTTCCTTGGCCTTGCTAAAGATACAAGAATCTTAAAGAACACCTAGAAAAATTATTGCAAAGAGATAATTTCCCAAGCACATAGTCATCAGGTTATCTAAAGTCAAGATGAAGGAAAGAATCTTAAGGGCTGTGAGGCAAAAGCATCAGGTAACCTAGAAAGGAAAACCTATTCAGATTAACAGGAGATTTCTCAGCTGAAACCCTACAAACTAGAAGGGATTGGGGGTTCTATTTTTAGCCTCCTTAAACAATTATCAGCCAGTAATTTTGTATCCAGTGAAACTTAGCTTCATAAATGAAGAAAAGATACAGTCTTTCCCAAATAAACAAATGATGAAAGAATTCACCACCACCAAGCCAGCACTACAAGGACTGCTAAAAGGACCTCTAAATCCCACACAGAGAACCTAAAAATACACCAAAGTAGAACATCCTTACAGTATCTCACAAGACCTATATAACAATAACACAATGGAAAAAAAAAAAAAAAAAACCAAGGTATTCAGGCAACAAATAGCACAATGAATAGAACAGTACCTCACATCTCAATACTAACATCAAATGTAAATGGCCTAAATCCTCTACTTAAAAGATAAAGAATGGAAGAATGAATAAAAGTTTACCAACCAAGTTTCTGCTGTCTTTGGGAGGCTCACCTAGTACATAAGGACTCTCATAAACTTAAGGTAAAGAGATAGAAAAAGATATTCCATGCTATTGGACACCAAAAGCAAGCAGTAGTTATTTTTATATCAGATAAAAAATAAAGTAATAGCAGTTAAAAACGACAAAGAGGGATATTATATAATGATAAAAGCACTAGTCCAACAGGAAAATACCACAGTTCTAAATGTATATGCACCTAGCACTAAAGCTCCCAAATTTATAAAACAATTACTACTAGATGTAAGAAATGAGATCGATGGCAACAGAATAATAGGAAGGTACTTTAACACTACACTGACATCATTAGGTCACCAAGACAGAAAATCAACAAAGAAACAACAGACTTAAATTATATGGTACAACAAATGGGCTTAACAGATATTTACTAAACATTCCACCCAATAACTGCAGAATATACACTCATTGGCACATAGAACATTCTCCAAGAGAGGTCATATGATAGGTCACAAGACAAATCTCAGTAAATCTAAGAAAATGGAAATTATATCAAGTACTCTCTCAGACCACAGTAGAATAAAATTGGAAATCAACTCCAAAAGGAACCCTCAAAACCATGTAAATTTATAAAAATTAAATAACCTTCTCCTGAATTATTGTTGGACAACAATAAAATCAAGATGGAAATTAAAAAATTCTTTGTACTGAACAATAATCGTCACACAACTTATCAAAGCCTCTGGGATATAGCTAATGTGGTGATAACAGAAAAGTTTGTAGCATTAAATGCCTACATCAAAGTGTCTGAAAAGGCACAAATAGACCATGTAAAGTCACACATCATGGCACTGGAGAAATAAGAACAATAGAACAATCCAAACCCAGCAGAAGAAAATAAATAAGATCAAGGCAGAACTAAATGAAATTGAAACAAAAACAGTATCAAAGATAAATGAAACAAAAAGCTGGTTCTTTGAAAAAAAATATATAAAATTAATGGACCATTAGTGAGATGAACCAAAAAAGAAAAGAGGAGATCCACAGAAACACAAAAAATTATTCAAGGCTACTATGAATGCCTTTACATGCATAAACTAGAAAATCTAGAGGAGATGCATAAATTCCTGGAAATATACAACCCTCCTATATTAAACCAGGAAGATACAGAATCTCTGAATAGACCAATAACAAGCCACAAGATTGAAATAGTGATAAAAACATGGTCAACAGGCTGGGCATTGTGGTTCACACCTGTAATCCCAGCACTTGGGGAACCTGAGGTGGGCAGATCACCTAAGGTCAGAAGTTACAGCCTGGCCAACCTGGCAAAACCTGATCTCTACTAAAAACACAAAAAATAGCAGGTGTGGTGGCATGTGCCTGTAGTCCCATCTACTTGTGAGGCTGAGGCAGGAGAATTGCTTGAACCCAAGAGGCAGAGGTTGTAATGAGCTGAGATCATGTCACTGCACTCCAGCCTGGGCGACAGAGCAAGACTCTGCCTCAAAACAAACACAAAACAAACCCAATAAGAAAAAAGTCTAAAGCCAGATGGATTCACAGCTGAATTATATCAGACATTCAAATAAGAATTGGTACCAATGCTATTGACATATTCCAAAAGAGGTAGGGGGAAGGGGAGGGGGCATCCTCCCTAAATCATTCCATGAGACCAGTATCACCCTAATACCAAAAGCAGGGAAGGACATAACCAAAAAAGAAAAATACAGTATAGGGAGCCATGGCAACATATTAAGGCTTATGTACATGGCATTTGAGGTCAGGGCATGGAAAAATACTGAGGCTCTGTGTGTATGTTATTTGTGCACGGAAGTGAAATTCCTTGACTCTGAAAACAGGACAGGGAGTGGAGTGTGTGGTGTGATAAGGAACGTTGAAAACAGCCTCCTGAGAATGCAGTTTGAGTGTTGTGCAAGGCCACAGGTGCCTCAGCAACACACCTCAAGTGACCATCTAGTGGATGTTTGTAGTTAATACATGCCCTTTCAATAAATACTGTACTTGATGGATGGATGCTGGGGTGGACTCTTTGGGAAGAGCTACCCCTAAGCCCTGCTCAGCTGGAAGTGTCTGAAGGCTTCATTCTTGGCTTTCACTGCAAGCTATAAGCTCTGCAACTGGTGATCTCGATGTGATCACCTTGAATTTATGCGTGAAGAAGAGCTCATCATTATTCAGGGAATCCAGGTAAAGGGCAGTCTTGACTACTATCAGGAGGATGGGATGTCAAGACATAATTATGTTTAATCCATCCTATCAGGGCAAGTGTAGCAACAGGTGTGTAAAATATCAGGTGTTAGGTTATCATGGGTCAAGAAATAACCAAAGAGCAGAAAGTATTTTTTAAAACAGTGCAACAGCTACCTAAGGCTATCCAGTGCACTGTAGAGCCTGGAGCTCTACACGAGCTTATGCTCTTAATTTGGCAGGAATCTCCTTGGTTTCCTGGTCAAAGAAACTTAGATTTAGAGTTATGGGAGCAGGTAGGTCACCAACTAAAAAGAGGATAGGAGCAAGGTCATTTTACTAATGTTACTATTTTGACCACCTGGGTGCTGGCATGCTCTGTTCTATGTTTATCTGCTAGATTGTGATAAGTCAGACCACCCATCTTCTCCACCTGAAGGGAATTCAGGAGATTTAAAGGAGAGGGCAAAAGCAGAAACCAGAACAACAGGGAGAGACTCCTCTCTCTCTCTTTCATTCCCTTCTATGGGGAATAACGAAGAGATTTTTTGTAGTGAGGATAAGGGCAGACTGGAGCCTTTTCCTCCCCCAATAGAAAAGCTACTGCCGTCTTTTCCTCCTCTTAAAGGGACCTGGATCTGTTGGCCCTGTTCAGGAAACAGCACCTCCCATCCCCTTTTAGGAGATTGGAGGCCACCTAAGAGACAGTCCTTAGATAAGACCCCTGGTCAGAGGACATCTATATGATTGGGTGTCTGTGTCTCCTTGACAAACTTCCCCACTGGAGGGGTGACCCAGGAGGGAAGGAGAGTGGCTGACTATAATTGTCTTCCTAATATGCAAGTTCTCACTTCCTACTTCCAGCATCAGCCTTTCTGGCCTTGTCTGTTTTCTGTTTCCCTGGAGTATAAGGGAAAGTTGCAGGCCGCCTCCTGGGTTTGATCCCAGATAGCACTGCACACCGAGGCCTGGGGCAGGACAGGTGCTAGGAAGCCATGGAGTGCCCACTTAGTCACTAGCAGTCTAGGCAAGTTGCCATTTCTGGGTTTGTGGTGACGAAAGGGAGGCCAAGAGGCACAGACCAGGTCCCCGGGTGGCTGCAGGCAGCCCAGCTTGGTCCCGAGAATCCTCCTCACCATGGTCACCTGCCTTAGTAACTGTGCCCAGAAAGTGGCCTGCTGCTTGCTCTGCTGCTTTTCCTACACGTGCCACCCACCCCTCACAGGTCTCAGCTGACAAACAATTCCTCGTCTTCCCTGGCCCCCAGAGGAAAGGGCTAAGAAACAGTCCATGTGCACCCCGGCCTTACTAGCCTAAGGTGGGCAGAATTGTGTAGAGCAGCCTAGAGTACAGAGCTCTGGGGGAGAAGCCCGCTAATAAGGGGTGCTCTCCTGTAGCCATATGTTAATTTCTAGGCTGAGGTGGACAAGCTCTGCCAGCTGCTGTCATCTTCAGAAGATAGACGCAGCAGTAAGAAATGTTTGTTTCACTTTTTAATAAAATGTTTAAAAAACACTGTGCTGCAAGTCTGCCCTTCCCCTGAGCCTCTCTGCTTGGGGGTGGTAAAAATAATAAAAAGCCAGGTATGTTTTCAGTACCTTGTGTAACAGGGTTGGCTCCGGGCGTAGGTGGTCTAGAGGATAAAGGGAGTAGTCTTCTCTCAGGCTGTTACCCTCTTGCCTCCTGCCT